GACTGACTTCATGAAGTACACTGCTGAGGGGAGCAGCGGGCGAGTCAGGAGAGGTCTGCTTTGCCATATGGGTCACCTCCCTGGCCGGGGATCAAACTCATGCTGTAGTGGCTGTGGATCACCTCATCGTGCCGAGACTTAACCCCTTGTGCCACCAGGGAGGCCCACAAGAATCTGCATCTGTAAGGAGCTGTTTAGAGTGTTCTTGTGGGCATTCAGATCTAGTAACCTTGACCCAGGACATACTGGAAAGTCTGGACTCAGTTTCATCATCATTGAGATCTGGGGGGTGATGGAGTCTCTGGGAGATGCCACAGGCCTCATGCTCGAGTCTCTCATGCCAGAGTGAAGCAGGCGTTTTTGTGTGCACACTGCCAAGCCAGCTCTCTCTGGAATCCAGTGGGTCCTGATTTCATAAACCTGTGGTCCCAAGGGCTCTGGGGACTGGATCTGAGTTTCTTTCCATGATCCAAGCACCTATGTGCTCTTCAGCACTATTTTTCAAATTTGTTGATGATACATGCAACACAGCATCTTTAAAAGCACTATTGACCTCAGGGCAGCTTTCTATACTGGTTTTCTTTTTCTCTGTCAACAATTACTAAAAATTCACCTATTATTATGTAAATCATGGGTAGGGTATCAGTCTGTGATACTTACTTTTTGGATTTTTAACAGGGGTCTTGATCCAAGGAAAGACCTGGAAGTGCCGGGGAGATGGCCCCCATGAGCCAGCATGGCCTCTGAGTTAATGAGCAGCTGGGTGGCCACTGCCCTGGCCACTGGTCAGCAGCACCGGCACCCCCACCCCCTCAGTGACCAGCTGGCTGGGGTGCTCTCCAGGACTTGAGTCATCCCAGTCGGTGACAGTGAGGGCTGCGTGACAGAGGAGACTGGGGATGGAGTGAGCTGTCAGAGCATGGGACAGCTGGGTGCTGGTGGGAGGCAGGTCCACCATCCAGATGGGTTCTTGCCCTCTCACTCAGACAGTAACTTAGATTTTTTAGGGGACTGCTCAACCCACCCAATGATGAGTAGGTTACGTCCTCAAAGGCTTCTACATGACCCAGGAAGACACCACGAAAGAGTCCTCAATCCCTAAGCAACCCCATGGCCCTTCCATGGGGGCAAGCAAACCATAGATTGGGGTGACCAGGTGAGTGTCCCTCATCGCTCTCTACTCAGAGGAGATCAGACTTTGTTCCCGTGAATCCCAAGGGCACTGCAGGGCCTGACAATGCTGTCATCAAGGCCCTCAGAAGCGTGCATGTGAGGTCAACCACTCTTTTCCTGAGCGCTCCTGAAGCCCCCTTCCTCACAGCCTTCCCCCCAGGCCCCATTCACTGGGAAATTCTACTTGGTACTGAGCAAATGGAGAGTTTCTGAGAAATAATCACTTGTAAATTCGCAAAGAAACTTCAGGGACCTTTTAATTCTTGCCTACTAACAGCCTGATTTGCTAAAACTTACGGAACTGAACTCTTAGAACGCTCTCCTGCCCTTTATCAGAAGTTTTGCCATTAGTGCTCACAGCGCCCCCACCCCCAAATGTAAAAGTCCTCTGTGTTAGCAGCTTAAAGCAGCACCTTGGGCGCTGTCTAACCCCTGTACAGTGTCTTGGTAAGTTGACTCCCCATGGGCCCAGGGATAGAACTACAATCTCTGCAGCTTCAGCTCACTTTGTAAGATGAAAATATGACATTGATCTGTCTGTTGTATCTGCAATTCTCTTAAAAAGAAAAATCCTCTTTTATGTTTACTCCACATTAATCGAGCTGATCTCTAGGGGTGAGACAAAAATAATACAACCCTGCTGTACAGCTGACTATTGACCCCCAAGAGTGAAGGGTGACTTCTTTCTTAGGGATTACCCTTCCACATAGCTAAGGTGAACCTTTGGCTATGGGCTTATAGCTACAGGCTCAGGGAGGCGCAAGAGGGTTCCCGATGGATGTGCCATTCTCCTGAGTAAGAGAACACAAAGAACTGTGAGTATCAAGATCTGTGACATGTGAGCCTGAGGCAGTGACCTCAGCCCCAGCTAGTGACCCCTTGGTCCATTCCCACTTTTTATAGATGGGCAAACTGAGGCTCCAAGAAGCCAGAGCAAGCCAGGCCACACAGCTCTCGTTTTACTATTTATTCATTGAATACATGGCAGAGGTTGAATCCAGCTTTTCATCATTTGAACAACCTAAAAGTTTTTTTTTTTTTCTTTTTCTTTCTGCTCCTTAGTCTGCAAGGTCTCTCTCTGGCTATGCATCAAAGAAAGGACCTTCTAGAGCCTTCCAATGCTAGCCAATCCCAGTACCCCACTTTCGGCTTGAATGAAGCTCATGGGCTTTTTCTACTTAAGATTCAGTTGAACAACCACAGTCATCAGAGTTCTGTGCCTCTTCCTGCCAGTCAGCTATTCTGTGCCACTCTAGGGTGGGTGCCCCCAACCCTTGGGTGACTCTTCTTTCCATTTACCTGATCTCCTTGGTGCAAAAACTGGTGTTAGCAGAGGAAATAGGGAGCAGGAATTCCTGACCCAATCCCCACTACAAAGAGCATCACATCAAGCAATGGAGGGAGGGCTTAGTTAACTCCTTAAATTGCCAGCAGCTCAGACTTTCCGGAGGGTGGGAACTGCTTGGTAAAAAAGAGCATTCCTTCCTGCACACTGAGCCCCACTGCCCGCTGGCTCTCCAGGCGCCATGGGGGAGTGCCTGAGGCTGGGGCTGGTGCCAAGGGTAACTCAAACACAAGTGCTGCCCCTGCTCCCACCCCCATGCCTTCTCGGAAATCAGAGGTCAGCAGCGCACATTTTCCCACAGCTCTGGGAGTCAAGTAAGGATGTTCTGGGACTCCACCTATCTGCAGAAGCCTGGGCACCCAGACCTCAGACTCCGCAGGGCTCCTGGACTGCAGCTGCCCAGTCTGCTGGGCCCCAGGGAGTCTCACTCTACCTGCTTATACCAAGCTGCCAGAAGCTGCTATAGCAATGTGACCAAAAATGGTTGAGGCCCTGCTTTACCCCCAAAGAGCGTCCTGTTAGGGGTTCCCGAAGTTGCTGTGAGAGTGCCTCACAGTCCCCTTTGCCCAGGGGCCACCTTCCAGCCACACACACACTCCTACTCATCCCTTGAAGCCCTAGGCAAAATCCCCTTCCCTTCTTAGGGCTTCCAGGAATTTCTTTCCGAAGGTCTGCCAAAGGAACTGGCTTCCCTCAGTTCTCTGAGGTGGGCGTTTCCCTTCCACTGCCAAAAGGATTCCCTGGGAACCTTCTCCAGCCCCTATTGGGGGCAGCCTGGCGGAAGCCCAGACTTCCTGTGCCCACTCTGTGCCTTGTTTTAGCTATTTCACCTTGAAGCAAGTTATTTAATTTATAAATCTTAGTGTTCAGGGGTTATTAAATATGTAAATAGATTACAACCTGACTAGTACCAGCTGAATGCTCCATAAAAGTCAACTCATTATTAAAAAAATTTAAATCATGGGACATAAATATAAGGTAAAAAATATTCTTGATAAAAGCATCAAAATAATGAGTAAGTCTCTAAGAGTCTAGAATCACTGACTTTGCACCAAAGGGGGGGGGAAAAATAAGGCAGGGAAACTGCCTGAAGCCGTCCCACAACCCTTACACCTTGCGTTTGTGATAACCGTGGTTTGAATGCAGTGATCCGTGGCTGGAAGTTGGAAAAACCCTCGTGAGAGGAAAAGAAACTAATGTGGTTCCAGGCAGTCTTTGTAGTACAAATCATGTTGCTCCTGAGGATGCCGCAGCTAGTATTTCAAAGTGGAATGATTGACCCATGTCTCAGGCAAGGCTTTCTAACTGCGAAGTATTTCATTAAGAAGAAAGGGTGACCACTAGGGCCACCAATTTCTACTGTGGCAGCACTGCCTCATTCCACAGACTAGCGGGCTATTTGGGGAATGCTACCTGCGTCTGGTGGTTGTAACTGTTTTAAGTTTTAGTAATAAATAGCACGTGTTTAAAGTGTTCACTTTGGTACCTTTTGACATGAATACTCTGAAATCGTCACAACCAAAAGAATGAACATACCTGTTACCCCAGGCCCCCCGGGTCCCTTCTGTCCATTTGTTCTTCCTGCCACCCTGACTGCCCTGTCCTGTCCCAAGTAACCACTGATCTGCCTATTACCACTGTAGACTGGCATTTTTTCCTAGAACTTTATACAATGGATAATCCAGTGTGTATTCATTTTTGCCTGACTTCTTTCATGCAACATACTTATTCTGAGATGCAGCTGTTGATGCTCTCTGCTTCCCAGCCTGGCCCTTCACTGCTGAGCAGGAGTCTTCAGCCCATGCGGCTTGTGAGCTCACCTGATGAGATGCCTTTGCATATTTCCAGCTTTTACACATTACAAATTAAAGTCCTATGGGCGGGCCCTCCCTGGAGGAGCAGGGGGTTAAAGCACAGCACTAAGAAACTAAAGCCACTTTCACAAGAGTTCAATCCTGGCCTGCCCTGGAGCTAACTCTCCTGACCCTCCCTCAGCAGTGTACTTTGTAGATCTCCTGTTCTGCTCCCCACTCTGTCTCTGATGAATCCTCTCACCTCCCCTGCACCTCAGGCCTGTACCCCAGTTCTGTATGCACAAATAAATCTTAAAAAAAAAAAAAAGTCCTCTGGACATTTATATGTAAGTGTTGGCATGGGCAGATCCTTCTGCTTCTCTTAAATACAAAGAGAATTTCAGAGTCAAAAAGAACAACGTTTGATCATTTTTCTCCACTTTCCAGCTGTGTGACTGTAATTCAGGATTTAACTGCTCTGTAAAATGAAGCTAATGATAATTCATTTTCAACAAATCAGTTATGTAAATTGACTAGATTTATAGCAATTATTATTTCTAACATTGCTTTTTCTTGGGTCAAACAATAAGGCCTGTCTTAACCCATTCACTTTTGCTACTTTAAATAAATACTTAAGACAGTCTTAAACTAAGACACATAAGAAATTTCTAATCACAGTGACAGGTATATAGCATGTGCTAAACAAATTAAAGTCACATTTATTATTTATAAATTAAGAAGGTTGGCTTTGGGGAAAAAAGTTGCATTCCAACGTAGGGTGGAGTCTCCTCTAGGTAGTGGACAGAGTGGGGGGGCTGCATGAGGCCAGAGGGCAGCCTAGGCGGCAGGCCTCTTCAGACCGGCCCACACGGAACGCTTCATGCCCTGTGCCGCCTTCATTTCTTCCCAGTCCAGCCTGACGTCTGGAACATCATATTCGGGCTCTGGATCCTCTCTCAAGGCCCCCCGGGGGGAGGCGACCACGATGGGCAGAGGGCCACATTCCTTCCGGAATTCCACAACATGGAGACTCTTCTTATCAGCCCGCTGTTGATGGGTTTCCTGGCAGGACCAAATTGAGAATCCTAGGTTAGATCTGTGAGGGAGCGCTGTTAACTAGAGAATGGGGCAGGCACTTCCAAGAGCTGGAGAGGGGCTGGCAGTGCACACTACCACTCGGGGGACTCAAAGCGCATTTCAGGGGCTTTACTTCGTGGCTCAAGGACAGTGAGCCCTCAGAGCCATCGCCCCATCAGCCCTGGGATGGCGGAAGGGCCTCTGCCTCTGGTGTCTCGCCTTCCAAACCCGCCCAACTGAGTGCCAGACGGTGCTTCATGCTGAGCTTGAATCTCACGAGCACCTAGATCAGGCAGGCAGAGATGTTAAGGACCCAAGTATTTGGTCAGACTGGGGAACTACAGGATAAACAACCTGTTTTCTTCAATAAAAAATTTGTAAGGGCAAAAAAGAAGATGCTACAGATTATAAGTGACTTAAAAGACATAGTAAAATTTGTAATTTATTGACTTTGCTTCAATATCATTCAAGCGAGTCATGTAAAAAATCTTTTTCAACATAAGAACAGAAACCATAAAATACCTAGAAGCAAAGATGGGTCAAACACTACACGACATACACTTCAGCGACATCTTTAAAGACAGAGCACCCAATGCCACAATAGTGAAGGCAAAGATAAATAGATGGGACTACATCAAGTTAAAGAGCTTCTGTACAGCAAAAGAGACATTACTAAAAACAAACAGAAAGATCACTAATTGGGAAAACATTTTCTCACACAAAAGTAGCGATAAAGGACTGATCACAAAAATATACGGAGAACTGATGAAACTCAACAAAAATAAAATAAACAACCCACTCAAAAAATGGGCAGTTGAGCTAAAAAGACACTTCTCCAAAGAGGAAATGCAGATGGCCAACAGGCATATGAAAAAATGTTCAACATCACTCGTAATAAGGGAGATGCAAATTAAAACCACAATGAGATACCACCTCACCCCAGTGAGAATGGCACATCTTCAAACAACTAGCAACAACAAATGTTGGCGAGGATGTGGAGAAAAAGGAACTCTCCTGCATTGCTGGTGGGAATGCAAACTAGTACAACCACTATGGAAAACTGTCTGGAGGTTCCTCAAACTGCTAAACATGGAGCTTCCCTACGACCCAGCAATCCCACTCCTAGGTATCTACCCAAAAGACACAAAAACACTGATTGAAAAAGATACTTGTACCCCCATGTTTATTGCTGCTTTATTTACAATTGGAAAAACATGGAAGCAGCCCAAATGCCCAAAAGTAGATGACTGGATAAAAAAGATGTGGTACATATATACAATGGAATATTACTCAGCAACCAAAAAAGAGAAACACATGTCTTTTGCAGCAACTTGGGTGGAGCTGGAAAAGATCATGCTTAGTGAGATAAGCCAGAAAGAGAAAGAAAAATATCGGACGGTGTCACTCATAGCAGGAGTATAATGGACCAGGCGAGAAAATAACAAAAATAATGAACAACCACATACCAGAGACCTTCTGTGGGGGTGGAGTGGGGAATGGTATCAAAAATGGGGGGGGGGGGGGGGGGGAAATTCACGGGACTATGGTGGTGGCACAGGGGTGATTTGGTGATGGGAAACCCGCGGGGATTACAATCGAGATGGAAAAAAAAAATGTGCAAAATGATGTAAAAATAAACTTTGTAATAAAAAAAAAATCTTTTTCAATCTGAGAAGCAGATATATTTCTGTGGACACTGACTAGATATCTGCTGAGTCTGAGTCACTGTTAATTTTGAGGTATGATAATGCAGAGCACTTCATGCCCTGTTTAGCCCTTATCTCTTAGATATATGTTAAAATATACATCAATGAAATAAAATGGTAGCAAGATTTGGTTCAGAATAATTGGGGCTTGGATGGGTGGCCTTAAGAAACAAGGCTGGCCACAAGCTCTAACTACTGACCCTTAATGAGAGGATCACGGGATTCACTCCGTTAAGTGGTCACAAGTCAGCAAGTAAGTCTACCCTATGCTTCACTGGTAGTACCTTAAAAGACCTAATAGAAAACAATCTTTGTTTCCAGACTCAATGGCCACCTTGTACTATACTACTGTAAACTAGAACAAAGATGAATTGTTTCATAAACACAAACTGATTTAAATTGGTGTATATTATAGTCAATGGCATGTTGCTTTACTTGATGGTCTGATTTTGAGCGGTACATTAAATAACACCACTTTTTTACTAATATCATTTAGAAGAGCTGATATGATAATTACATCAGAAGATTCAAAATACTTGATTATAAATATGATTTGTCTAAAACCAATACTTTGGTGATATCAATTAAATCTCTTAACAATTCAATTGGATTTAGAAGTGCGTTTGAAAGATGTTTTAGGTAGTGTACACACACACACACACACACCTCTGTTCAAAAAAAATCTTTTAACCAAAGCTTTTTCTCTAATTTCTTATTTTAAACAGATGTAGAGTTATTCCATGGAACAAGGGAAGTCAAATCTTACAAATGAAGTCTCAAAAACCACTGTGTTTCCTTCTTGTGCAGCTCTACTGATGCCTATCAGATCCAGAAGCTGAGGGGGGATGGAGGGTGAGGAGTGACGGGGAGCCATCCCGCTGAGCTTGACAAGGCCAGCTGAGCCGCAGTCAGGGCCTGCGCTGTGCAGGGAAATACCCTGGTGTATTAATGTCCACAGTTCCTACTAACCCAGGTGTCTGTCTGCACTACCTGGGCAGGTAATGTGAAACAGCGCTTCTACATAAGCAGGTCTCCAGGGTGGAGAAAGAACTAAATTAGGAAATTAAATTTTTTTCTTTTGAGGCATTTTAGAACAAGCATGTACCCTTTTCATAAAAAGGTTAATTACTGGCTTTTTAGAAATGCTTAATTTTGCGACTTCAAAAACCGATGAGGTATTTACTTAAAAGTGAATTTCCATGAACTCACTCTCCTACTGAATTAGCTAGCCTACAGAAGCCATAAATAACAAAAATCCCTGAACCCTGAGGTGGCCTCAGGAGAGTAACTCCAGAAGGTCCCAAGACATTGTCCTAAGGCACACAACTGACATACAGATTCGAGGTTCTGTTCCACACCCCAGGGAAGGGTTACCTGGCTGGAGAGCCCATAGAAGAGGCCCCGGGTGAGGTTGAGCATGTTCATAGACCCTGAGACCTTGGCGTACAAGTCTTTGATGCCAATGAGCCGGCAGATGGTGATGATGGCCCGGTGGCAGCGGAGGCCGTAGCCTAGAAAAGGAAAACAAAACAGGTCAAACACCAGCCCACCCACCTGCAATGCAGACGGTCCGTCACCCTCCGGCTTCATACAACTTTGGGCTCAGGGCCAGGAGACCCTGGCTGCATTCTGGATCACTACCTCCCAGGGTGCCCTTGACAACTTACTGGACTTTCATGGTAGCACTTATTTAAACTGAATGTTTAAAAGTCAAAGAAATAATGGACACATAAATTTCTTGAACACATGGCAAAAATACAAAGATTAACCGATCCTGAAAGCGCTCAATGCCCGCATCCGCGTTAACTGAGGACAGAGGACACATGCGCTCTCCTCCTCCCGGACTGCTCAGTGGTCTACTTCCTCCTCCTGGGAAAAACCTTTTGGTTTCGGTCATGTGTTGTCTCCTAATGGTTAGGAGTCTCTCCTAACCATTGGCCCATCCTTCTCACCTCCTTGCACTGCATTTTGGATGGTCTCCCCTCCAGCCACGGACCATATGCTGGTCTACCTGTCATCCCTTCTCCAGGAAGAGCTTTCAAAACACCAAACATATCACTCCCTATTAAAAGTCCTTCACTTCCCACTGAAATAAAATGAAGAACTCCATATCCTACAAAACCCTTCTTGAGCACACCCCTCAAAAGTCTCACCTAGAGACACTACCTCCCGCCGCCTGGCTTTCCCACCTCAGGGAATGTTCACCAGGTGTTTTCTGGGCCACCCTCCCTGCGTGGCTCCTTCTCACTTTCAAAGCCTCCCTTAATGCCTCCTCCACAGAGCCTTCTCGCTGTGCTTTTAGAGACCTCTTCTATTCTGTCCCCTGCTGCTTTCTACCCCAAACCAAAAGCCTCTGCCTTCTTAAATCTAACTTAGGCCTTTCCATTTTGGCATTTTCAAAACAGTTCAAATAAAGTTGAGCCAAGATAGAGGAAAAGATAGAAATATTATAATTTGTCTGCTTTATCATCAATAAATTATAAGAGTTTTTAGTTACCTCTGGGTTGTTTCTTCATCTTGATATGTGTCCTTTTAAACGTTAAAGAAATGTCATGGAATACTGGAGGATAAAAATACAGACATAAGGATTTAGGTATGTGCTTAAGGATCTTGCAAATATCACAAAGCAGCTCATAACTCCCAAGAGGTCAACACACATAAAGGATGCATGACAAACTCTGATTTCACTCCTTACTAACCATCTCAGGAGAGAAAGTGTGTTTCTACATATGACACATTCATTTATCAGAAAATAGTGACAAGCAGAGAATCACAAAGATGCTCACAGAGACACACTGCCACATATACTGAAACAAAATCCTGCAAATTTGTGAAGAAAGCTCACCACTTACTTGTATGGTCTTCATATCGTTCTATATAGTGCAAATAGTGAACTGCTTTGTTCTTTGCCTAGAAGAAGAAAAATATTTTTTCTTAACTCTATTGTTGGGATTTATATTTTCCCAAGGACTTCAAAAAATACCTTTCGTAAATTATTTTATTGTGAAAAGCTTCAAACTTCAGTATAGTCTTCTGAAAGCTAAGGATTAAATGTGTAATATCATAACCAAAATAATACTACCACACCTAAAAAACTTAACACTAATGCCTTAGTAGCTTTGAATTTTCTGCCAGTGTTTTCAAACTTTGAGTGGGCTCAGAACTTTGGTAAGCGATCAGAAATCTGACAAAAATGATGCAAAAAACCTAGGTATTTATGAAAATGCTTCTTGTGACATAAGTAACCTTTGACGGCAGGCTTATGAAATGTTTCTTATTTTTATTATTTAAAACTTTTTGTGGTTCCCATGTGTCTAGCACATATCCTATTGATCCTTTACTCTCAACAAAGCAAAAATGTACCTACTTTCCTAAAAGCGTCCATCCGTTCTGTGGCTTTCCCAATGGCAAAACCTTTAAAAGAAAAAGCAAATTTATGAAAAGGGGCACAAACTGACACACACCTTTTACCTTATTTCAAGTTTTAGCTTCTGCAATATTTCATAGCATCTCCTTTTTCTTCTGTCCATAGAAAACTTGCTATCCAAGTCAGAATGACAAAGCTTAAGGCCACATGAATTTGGAAGTAATGCATTTGAATGTACCTCTGAAATCCAAGATCAGATGTTAACATTGCATTCTATTTCTCTGTCGGTGGAACTAATGTATGAGGAAGAGGCGCATGGACTGGGGTGAGGACTGCGGGAGCCCTGGTGGACGGTGGTGTGGTGACAGGCATCGGGTGCACCTATGCCTCTGAGTCACACACAGTGTCGGAAACCACTGTTTCCTCATAAAGAGTGAAGAACCATTATTCTCACAGGAAAAGACAGAGAGGGACCTATTCTTTTTTTCCCTTCTAAGGTAGTTTTTGGGTTTGCCACAGGTTTGTGAACCCAAACCACAAAAAGGCTTCATCAGTAGAAGCGCGGCCAGCGGCAGGAGCCCCTGGAGGCCACAGTCCACCCGGGCCCCCCCCAGCCCCTCAGGCCTTACTCACCTGCAGCTCCTCTGCCGTTCCCCACGGCAACCAGGACGCGGACTGACTTCTTTCTTCCCTCTTTTGCTGTCATATTGAAAACATTTCTCACCTAAAAGACAAAATTTTCATAACTATTTCCCTTTGGGGAAATACTGGAGTAGGGACCTGTGACCTCTTTGCACAGAGGTGCACGTGGTGGAAAGGAACATCAGTCCCCTCATCAAAGCAAACTGTCTCAAAGGAAATGGATTTTTGGGCTGTTTTTTAAATGTAGAATAGAAAAAAAGACTTTCTCTTCCTCTTTTGCAGGGCTGTTGAGAGGTTTGACTAAGATCATTTTAAAGGAATGTGAAACTACAGCTCAATATACCCTAGTCTAGTGAATGCAATGTAATAAGCATAAGTGACTGTATACGACATATCCCAATTCAGAGATTTTTAAAATAAAGAAAAATGTGCATCTTAGAAATGATACAGAAATAATTAGGGGAGCCTGGATCTCTATGCTAAGAGTTATGCTCAACTGAGAAGTATCTGTAAATACCTGCTTATTATGAACCACAGGAAAATCTCATTTTGGGAGAGCATAGTTAAATGGCCAGGAACAATGAAACGGAGTGGCTTACACGGCCAGCCACTTTCCCATGAGATGAGATGCAAGGAAAAGGAGGCGCTAGTCCTCTGCCGTGAATAATCTCACAGGAAATTCCCAATATATAAGAATTCTTCAAAGGAATTAACTTTCACAAGGTATATAAACTGGGACCCAGAGACAAAAAATACCTACAAATATTAATTTTAAATGTCAAATTCTATCTCACCATTGCTATTGAGGAAACAATGTGCATGTTCAATCACAAGCAGCCCAAGCGGGACTGTTCCTCACGGTGTTGAACATCAGACACACAGCTGGCTCCGGGAGCTGCCTGAGAAAAGCCACTGAAATCTACTCAACAGAAGCTGCCAGCTAAAGGGTGTGCAAGCAGCAGCCGGTAGGTCACTTGCCTGCGGGAGCGACATGCACAACAGCCCAAGCTCTCAATTCCTGTCAGCGATCTCAGGCTCCTCTCCCTGGATCAGGTGCCAGACACAGCTGTTTGGAACTACAGATGGATTGCTAAATCTCCTTTGGCTTTAGGAAGGAGGAAGCTTAAATGTAACCTCCCAACAATACCACTTCTCAAGGCCCCTTGGCCTTGAGACCTCAATTGGTAGCCCCCCAAGAAAGGCAGCAGTCAGAAGAGTCAAAATCAACTAGCTGAAATTAAAGTTCCATTATTTCCTTACTCAAGTCAGCTGTCTCAGTAAAAGCCACATATCAAAGGCTTTCATCACAGTTTTTAACCTATCTTTACTTCACCCAAGACCGAACCAACTATTACATTCAGCACACTTACCTCAAGTATCCTGGTATCAAAATCCTCATACGTTTCTGTAAGGAGCAAAGAGGCACCACATAAATGTGTCAAAGTGAGTAGTGCATAAATGCATTTTTCACTGACTTCTAGAGAAAGCATCTCAGATCTTCTGAGGCATACCTGGTTTCCATCAGCTACTGTCCCCACCGTCTTCGCGACTGCACCCTCCTGCCCCTCCAGTTCTCTCTCTACAACCCCAAGGCTGTAGTCTTTGGAGCTCCCTGGCAGCTCCAGACTCTTGATCAACATTTTCCCCTACCCTGTCATTCCGCTGGGTCTTCATGATCTCTCTCAACAGCCACGACGCCACAGCCCATCATGTCCACGAGACTTTGTGATGTTCTCAACTCCCTCACCCTATTCTCTCTTTACCACACTGTCTAGGCCTGAATCAACCACAGCAGTCTAGCTGCTGCAGGCCTGTTGGGTATTGCTAGAGCAAGTTTAAATCTCAGTCTACACCTGGGTCACTGAAAATTCAACTCAGTTGAGTCCTCCCTGCTTCCTGTTAGCCCTTTATGTCCTTTCAGTAAGGTCTTTCTCCACTCCCCACAGCAGCCAATTCAAACCTGTGCGCCTCTGGGGGCCATGCTCATCACTGCCTGTACACATTCCTCCACCAAGGTAGGCTCACCTACTCTTTCTTCTGTCCATTAATCCATTTAGCTATCCTCTGGACCTGGGCCCACTTATTTCCTCTCCCATCCATTTCTTCATCCTCCCAACTGAAGCATTTTCTAATAGTCCAAGGGTGCTCACCTGAGTCTATCCATTTCAACCACACCCCATTAATTTTCATTTAAGAAAGCAGTCAAACTCTCCTCTACTTCTTTACCTGCTCATTGACAAGAAGAAATTGTTCTGATGATTTTTACTTCTTTACATATTTAGGGGATGGGGCCTTGTGTTCTAATTTGATCTGATGTTACTGTTTTCTTATTTCATGTGTGCTTTTGTGAGGCTTAATGACAACTGGCTGGTTTATCTTTTGTCACTGAAACAGTACTCTCGGGCCAGGCTGCTCCACAGGCACCCCATGAATGATGTTTGAGAAACTGCAGTCTATAAGGTGCTTATAAACAGATGAGTAACGCACATCACATGTAAATGCTCATGAGAAACACACACACGTAAGTGCTCATGAGAAACACACACATGTAAGTGCTCATGAGAATCGCACACATGTAAGTGCTCACGAGAAACCAGATAATAAAACACCAGAGCCCAGTGCTTTGCACCGTCTGCAGATACTTCTTCGTTATGGGCCTCGACTGTCCCATTAAAATACAACTGAATAATAATGTGATATTATTTCAAAGATGTTCAAACACTTTCTTGAAAAGAGGCAATCTAAACAAAAAAGTAGTTACAATATACTAGGGGGTCTAACTATGAGGACCCTCTTTGTTGGAAAGGTCAGTAAAGCCAGCACTCTGCTACCTCCATCGGGACCCGGGTCAGGGGGGCCAAGACTGACGCCCCCCCATGTGTTTCCACTCCATCCTCGCTCTCGTTTGACCTTCATCTTCCTTTTCCGGTCCCACTCTTCTCTCTGCTGAACCATATCAGCCTCCACCTTCTCTTGCTCTTCCTTGCTTCTCTGGGAAATAGCCTGCACGGCTCCATTTCTCATAAGAGGGACGTTCAAACCAGGCCATAAGAAGCCATGATGCCCTGAAAATTTAAAAACATACAAAATAAGAGCTTGCAAAAAGCACTCATTCCTTGAATACTAAAAAGCCAGGAGGTGGGTAAACAGATGACACTTCTGGTAGGAGCTTTAACATAGTCACTTGGCTGACTCCTTGGCACTACTGAAAGTGTAGGTGTGCCTACCCTATCAGCTAGTAATTCCACTTCATGGTATTATCTCTGGAAACACTCACATCAGGCTCAAAATGTGTGTGCTTGACAAGGACGTCCACCGAAAAACTGTTTTTGTTTTTTTTAAGATTTATTTATTTATGCATACAAGAGCTGGGGTGCAGGCCAGAGATGGGGAGGGGCTGGGGGAGGTGAGAGGATTCACCAGAGCAGTGGGGAGAACAGGCAGATCTACTGAAATACACTGCTGAGGGGCGGGTAGGACCGGAGGGGTCTGCTGCACCATGTGGGTCAGCTCCAGGCCAGGGACTGCACTGCTGTAGTGGCTGCAGACAGCTTCATAGTGCTGTGCTTTAACTCTCTGTGCCACCAGGGAGGCCATGAAGTGTTATGTGTAAAGATAAAGAAGTTGGACACAATCTAAATGTCCAATGGTTAAGTGAACTGTGGCATATCCAACCTATGAAATATTCTGTTCTGAATCACTATAAGATGATGTGGAATAATTTCCAAAACCTATTACTAAGTGAAAAACAATAAATCTTACAGACAGTATGTATCATATGAAATAATTTAGTTAAAAAAAAATACTTTTCAGGGGGGAGAGAAATGCACGGGATTATGGTGATGGCACACGGGTGATTTGGTGATGGGAAACCCGGGGGATTACAATCGAGATGGAAAAAAAATGTACAAAATGATGTAAAAATAAACTTTTGTAATAAAAAAAATAAAATAAAATGCAAGTAACTGGGAAAATAAAAAAAAACAAACTTTTCTTTTAGAGCATAAAGGATATAAAAGCATTTTTAAATGTCATGAGGACCAAAATGGGACCAGTGGTTTCCTTGGGGAAGGCATCAGGAATAGGGGAGACCAAAAAGGGCATCAAAGGGGACTTGAGGTTTCTCTCAGTCTTTGAAGTTTTTATTGAGAGTTAAACGATTAAAATAAGATACAAGGTAAGTCATGCAAGGTAAGACAGCACTAGCTAGATGACTCTCACCAACAAACAGCAGGTTATGTCAGCAACCACGACACAGAAAGTCCACTCAAGTCCATTCCACAGTTTTTACTCTTCAAAATCCGCAAGTGGAAACAAGCACGCACCCCAGGGGCTGGCAAACTAAAGTCCGAGGGTCAAATCCAGCCCACAGGTCATTTTCTGTAAACATGGCTTTACTCGAGCCCCGCTCTGCCCATTGATTAGGTATTGTTGACGTGTTTTGCGCAGACGCAGAGTTGAGCAGCTGTAACAGAAACCATGTGGCTTCCAAAGCTGAAAATATTTACTACCTGTCCCTCTGCAAAGGCCACTGCCTTTCCATTCACTACATCTATTATATTAGCGAATTATGAGTTCGCCGAGGGCAGAGACTGTCACAGCAGAGGCCCTCAGAGCACTGCAGGATTTTCCTCCCCCAGAACCACAGGGCAACAGGTAAGCCATCTGGTTGCATGCTGAAACAGCAGATCCAAGTGTTCATGGAAGAGGTTTGGATTCTTCTAGTTTGCAAACTGCCCAATTCTGGGAGGTGTTGGGGGAAGGAGAGCCTTAAAAATCACACTGGCTTTTTTTATAAACAAGCTTACCTTCTCCAATGATCTGACCCCTGTTCAAATCCTTTCTTCGCTTTTTCTTAGTTCTTTTGCCTCTTCCTTTCCTTGCTCCAGCACCAGTCTCTGCTAAAGCACCTTTCCATAGCTCATCTGCTGTCACTGTAATAAAACAAGATTTTTTTTTTCGATTTTCAAGCAATGATCTATGTTCTCCTACTGAATAAAAAAAAAGGCCCAGATTTACTTGTATTACTGTGACAGTGAAAGTAAAATTAAATCATTCTTTGTACATATCACACGTTCATATTTGGAATAGCTTAGAGATGATTCTTCTACTTTCAAAGCACATGGCCTTCCTCTATGAAAGATGGTCATCTAAATCCCAGCTACTTACCAGTAGGTTTGTTTGCTAGGCATTTTATTAACGGTTACAGGTTTCTTTCCCCTTTTGCTTCATTGTAAGCACTGAGATAACCAATAACTGTTCTTCCTAAATACATGTTGCTTGGGCTAAATAAAAATCAACATTTTAGTCTGAACCCATAAATCATTTTCATCGTTTGCTCTACAGTAAATACCTTAAGTATCTTCACAATGAAATGCCCACAGCATCTTCCATTCTAATCAATGTCTAATCAAATCACAGGGAAGACTCCGTGAGCAGGGGTTTGACAGTGCTCTTCCGTGCATGCACGTATTCGAGGCAATGCTTGTCTCACTTTATGTGTAGGCCCTGACACTGCTGACATTTTCTGTTTGTGAATTTCTAGGATCCTAAATTCTTTTTCTGTTACACATTTCAATCAGTATACAGTCCTTTCTGTACTTGTAGAATATTCAGATTCTTTACTTTTGACAATTACCAAATTTCATTGGTATAGTTACACTATATATTAAATACCGTCCTCCTAAGGACTTCCAGTCTCTCAAAGTACCAAAAGATTTTACAATCATAGAGATTCTGTCCCATTAACAGTTTATTAAGAAAGAATCAGAATCTACAAATGTACTCATCAGAAACCTAAGATATATATAAAGGTCTGAAATACTAAACACATTCTAGAAGATATACACAGGTATCTTCATCCTTCTTATGAGCCCCTTAGGGTTCAAAAGATCTCCTTGCTGGCTTCTTGAAGACTTGGCTTGATCTTCTGGGTAGATAACACAGAGACAGAAAAATGTTTTGGATTTAAATGCTGTATATCTGTATAATATCCTGCTTTTTAAAATGCACACATATTATTATAGCTGATCTTTATAACTAAAACTCAGAAAAGCGAGATTTCAACTCACATGTTGTTCTCTTGTCCCTGCTTATAGCAAAAGGTTGAGCTCAAACTTTAGATTGACACTGATATACTTAGAAGAACCAAAACAGGTTTGAAATAAAATCACCAGACTCAAACAAACTCTCACTAAAGATCTGATTTTCTTTTCTATCTGCTTACAAGTGATGGCGCTTATAAATGCCATCCAAACTTCAAGGTTCACGATAAACGTACTTCAGTTGGGGCATATTCAGATTGGTCAATGAGTTTTTCTTCACTTACTATCAGAATAAGAAATCACTCAATAAAATTAAAAGGGATTTGATTTTAAAAGGAAATTGATATTGACACAGATGTAAAAGAATAATTTAGTCCTTTTTTTTTAATAAATGTAAGAAAGATTTGAAAAACACCATCAAGTCACGTCAGGTTTTGAATGCTATTATAATATAAAAAATGGTTCTAAATTTAAATAAAATCTTCATTCAGATTATAAAAGTAAGTAATTTTGTAAAATCTGAAAAACAAAGACATTATGAAGAATAAAAAGTAAAACAATCATAACCCCCATCACCACTATTAGATCAAAATGTAGAATCTCTCTCTATTCATGCATGTGTGTACATATATTTGAAAAAATAAGCTATATAGTTTGCCTGTTTTAGACAAAATTAGAATTAGGCTATAAGCATAACTTTGTATCCTGAATATTTTTAGTAACATAATATGTTGTGCGCCTTATATCATATTCTTAAAATATTGCTCATGAACATAATTTAATAGCTGTAAGCTAAACTGTTATTTTGATAAGAGATTTTGCTATCTTAACATTAGGACATACTGTTTTAACTCTAATTAACTGAAGTGCTATATAAAGAGATTTAGTATTATTTCAACTCTTTGCCATATTCAAGGAGAGGCAAATCGTTCCAGCTTTCTCCATGCCTCTATTCTCTTTGCACCAAAAATCTTCAGATACAACTAAATCTAATTTACTTATAATCCCAACACTTGATGTTCTTTTCTGTGTTGTTACACAAATACTTTACCAAAAGGCTTCAAATTAAAGTGATTTGCACCAACTGATAAAATACTCTTTGGCCATAACAGCATGGGAAGCCTACACAGGGCCATGGTAAAATGTACAATATGCTTCTGCAGGAAAAAAGCAGCAGACCCAGCATTTCTGGGGGATGGAATGACAGGTGACTGTCTCTATTCTGATTTTCTGTACTTACCAAAAACTCTAAAATGAACTGGCTTTATCTTCCTGATTTCTATTAATTTGCCTAATCTGGGTTGAATTCAATGTCCATTTATTACCTGTCAAGCAAACTTCAGTTCAGATTGGAATCTCAAATGTTACCACAAACAGGAGTACTGTTAGCAATTCAGCTATTTAAAATTAACTTTTCCTAATGAGATGCCCTGAAGTGCAACTGGAAATAGATTTTGAGTATATTTTTGGTGTGAATCTCAATCAGCAGAGATTTGGGCCACAGTTCAATACCTTTAGGCCTCAAGTGCTCCAAACAAGGAGATTAAAGTTAACTGGTGCCCTCAACGCACAGTATACAAGTACAGCTGGCAGCATGTATACACAAAAGTATCCCTGTATTCAGGGTGTGCCCAAAAGAACATTTAATAGCACATCAGACACTAATCATTAGTGTTGACCATTTAGAAGAAAGTGGAAGACAAAGGCACCACTTATCTTACTGTTCCATGAAATGGGAAATTTGTGGTCATTCTACATACATTTGGTGAAGAAACTATAGGATCTGCTCTGTTGGCCCATGAGGTGACTGGGAGGAGAAATCCAGCATTGCGTCTGAAGGGCACGTGCCAAGCTGGTGAAGTGACGGTCTCCAACTCCTGCAGGCAGATGGAATAAAACTACAGTCAGATGTCTCAAGGCTGTGCAGAAACATTGTTAGCACCAAATAACCTAATCATCACTAACAGAAAGAGGTCACTAAAATGCAGTACTTGCATAAATAAATCACATCTTTAGAACAGTGTTTCTTAAAAGGATAAAACTTTGGGCAGGTAATAAAATGCTCATCCTGGGTAGAGCTGTTCATTCACACAGGGCTACTGCCAAGCTGCAATTACCACTCAAGCTTTCGCTATTCTGGGCCTATGGTGCCCTCTGCTGTTGCAGAAGACAATGTAACTGTCCTGGAGACCTGGGCATGACCTGGGTGGCAGAGCAAGACATGGAACAAAGCTGGCTCATGTAATGACTTACTCACTAAAATGTAAATACACAGCGTTAGCTTTCATTGAAATAAATTCAGGACTTCAGTTTATTTTGCTTTATTTAGTACATTCCTTTGTTTTCTGTTGTTATGTACTGCAAGGGAAATTATATAGCATTTGACAATGGTTTTTTTGGTTTTTTTTAAAAGATTTATTTATTTATTCATACAGAACTGGGGTACAGGCCAAAGATGTGGAGGGTGAGAGGATTCACCAGGGACAGAGTGGGGTGCAGAACAGGCAGATCGACGAAGTACACTGCTGAGGGGAGCAGCGGGCGGGTCAGGAGAGGTCTGCCACGCCATGTGGTCACCTCCGGGGCAGGCGGGAATCGAACTCATACGGAAGCGGCTTTAGCTTCTCAGTGCAGTGCTTTAACCTGCTGCACCACCAGGGAGGGCCTGGTTTTTTTTTTTTAAAGATTTATTTATTTATGCATACAGAACTTGAGTACAGGCCAGAGTTTTGGGAATGGTGAGAGAATTCACCAGAGACAGAGTGCTCCCACTGAATCGGCTGCTGCTAGCTCCTAGTGCTGCGCTTTAACCCGTTGCACCAGGGAGGGCTTCCCTATTGTTCTTTAAAGCCTTGAAATATAACAATTATAATCATAAAAAAGTTGAGGAATATTCTTCAGATGCTATTTATTCCCATTATAAAGAATGTGCTTAGTTAATTTACATTTTTTTAAACATTAGATCTTATAAGTAAAGGTAGGTAGATAAATGAATCTCACCATTGCTGAGAACAGGTTTCAACCCCAAAACAGATGCTGCTGGATAGGTGTGCAGATAAAGTTGCCTGGACCATAAATGTCCTGTAAATAAAAACCAAGTTTTTAAAGATACATTTTTATTTAAAAAAAGGGGGTATTTTGAACACCCCCAAAATATCAATATCTATAAAGAACCAAGTAAATGTGTAATTTCTGGGCTCTGTGACTACCCACCTAAGTAGGTGATATCACATCTCTTCATTTTCACAGCCAATCAGCTACCACACTCTAAATTTTCTTTAAAAACCAGTCTACCTGTCCACCTCTCCTTTGTCCAGGCCCCACATCCCTTGGCCATGTGGTAACAACAGTCTCTCAAGAGATCCTGCTGCTTTCTGTCTGTCCCTCTCACACTCAACATCTGTCAGACAGGCCTTGCTAAAATAGCAGGCCTGTTCATGTCAGCTCTGATCCAGCCTTCTTTGGCTCCTTACTGCCTGCAGAACAAATCAAGACTCTTCAGCACAGCCTTCAGGTGTGACCCAACCATCCACATGGGTCTCAATCTCAACTCTCCCCCTTACCTCTGCCCGCGCCCCCTGCAGTCAGGCTTAACTGGCTCTACTCCTTCCTCCTTTTTGCATCTCTGGCACTTTCTCCAGGTTTGTCTGAAACATGACCTCTTGGTGAAGCCTCCCTGATTCCCTTGGTATCCTTCAGCACTCTGTTCCCTCCCCTGAAGGAGCAGGCTGAAAGCGCACTAGGTACCAACTCCACATGCTACAGAGTTTTAGAACAGGCTCTGACAGTTTAAACCAGCATTGGACTTAAAAAACAGTGGGTAAAAAATATTTCCGCAAATGGGGGTGGGGAAACTAACGAGTGACATGCAAGAGATGGGAATTGAGCCTTTTTCACCCCGTATGTAAAAATTAATTCCAAATAGATCACAGCTAAGGTGAGAGAAAAAACACAAAACTCTTTGAATAACTTCAGGGCTAATCATCACAAACATGAAATTGGCCATATTTTCATGACACTAACACCATGAGCAAGAAAAAAAAAAGTAGAAAAAGCAAACCATCAACATTTAAAATTGTGTCCTTTGAGGGCATTAAGAAAGTAAAAGGACAGCAAATGGCATGGCAGAAAGTATTTGCAAACCATCTATCTGAAGGGATTTATATCAAGATTGAATAAAGAACCCATACAATTTATTAATTAAAAAAAAACCCACAATTTCACAATGGGCAAAATATTAAATATAACATATTTCTCCAAATGGCCAATAAGTACAAGAACTGATGCTAATTGCTTCACACCCACAAGGTGACTAAAATCAAAAGGACTGATAATAGCACATGTGGGTGGCCAGAGGTGGAGAAATTAAGAATCTTCATGCACTGCTGGTGGCCAATGTAAAATGGTATAGCTAGTTCAGAAAACAGTCTAGAGTTCCTCAAAAAGTTAAACATGAAATTACCATTTTATATAGCATTTCCATTCCCTGGCATAACATAACTGATATTAAATATGTACACACAAAAACTCTGTACACAAATGTCTACAGCAACATTGGCTATAACAAAAGGCGTACCAAACCAAATTTTCATCAACTGATGAACAGATATACAAAATGTGGTTACATACAGGTATTAGAACATTGTCTTAAAAATGATACTGATATGACACATGCTATAGCAAGGAAGAATCCTGAAAACCTTATGCTGAATGAAAGAAGCCTGCCCCAAGAAACCATATACTGTAGGGCTCTTTAAATGAAATTTCCCAAACATGCAAACTATAGATGTAGAAAGTACAGGAGTGGTTGGCTAGGATTGGACACAGTGGAAAACTGGGGCTTAGATAGCTGAAGAGCCAGTGATCTGTTTGTGATGAAAATGTTCTTGACTGCAGTGATAACTGCAAAGGTCTATAAATATACTATAAAAATTTTGAATACTGTAAACTGTACAATATGTGAACAAATAAAGCTGTTACAAAACTGTATGCCAGAAAAAGAAAAATAAACAGGCTCCGGGATCAGGCAATATAGGCTGGAAAACCTGATGTTTTCCCAGTCTAATCTTGAACACATTTGGCACATCTGTGTGCCTTAATTCCCTCATCTGTAAAACAGGAATAATAAAGCACTGTGAAAACGAAGTGAGGGAAAAGACAACATAAAATGCTCCTTGGCATACAGTAACAGCTCATGAAAGAAAGCTACAAAACAAAAGCTAGGGGTTATTTGAATGGAACCTTGAAAAAGAAGGTGGTTGTAACCCAGATAAAAGTAAAAAAGTTTGTCAGATGTTCCCCTAAGTGATTTCAGGTCGTTTCCCAGCAAAATGAGAAACAAAAAAGAAGTCGGTTTTTACAGGTCTTTGGATTTCAGAATTACCAACGCTGGACTGTGGTCTCACTACAGAACAGAATTTACAGAAAACGCAAAGTCAATCACGAAACCGTGCTTAGAGGCAAACACCTGCCCTGGGATGGCATCGTACTTGCCCACCCGCTCCCACAGACCAAAGGTGGGAGGAAAATCCCTAGAGTTCCTAAGGTTCTGCACGTCCCCCTCTTTAACAAAGTCACTGAACAGCCCGAAAACTACAAGGGCTGACATTAATCCTACCCTACCCCAGCTGGCCCCTCTCCCTTTGGAGCCTCGGTGGCAGCCAACTGCCTTGAACCCCCACACTGACACCACAGAATGAACTGCGGATCGCGCCCGCCAGAAAGGTGATGCTTGCTTGCTAGCTAGTGCCCTGGCCCACCCGGGGGAGCACCCACGAGTGGTCTGGTGAGCTGGAAGTGACCCTGGCCGGCGATCGACAGCCTCACTTTACAGCCACCCAGAGAAGGCAAGGAAGTGCGCAAGGTCACACAGCGGGCTCGGATAGCCCCGACTGCGGTCGAGGAGCCCACACGCCGCTAGTTCTCGCTACTTTCCACCCGAGCGTATAGGTCCCGGGCGAACTCCCCGCATCCACCCGATCCAGAACCCCTGCACCCGGCTTCCCAGCTCGCACCCGCCGGCACGCCGCACAGTGCAGACAGACAGCCCGCGGCGCGCACCGCCGCCGCCATGCTGGGGCCCACGCG